TGTCTCTTATACACATCTAACGAAACTGTTAAAGGAATCCAAGGACTTCTTTGCATCGTTCTCAATCTGTCTCTTATACACATCTAACGAAACTGTTAAAGGAATCCAAGGACTTCTTTGCATCGTTCTCAATCTGTCTCTTATACACATCTAACGAAACTGTTAAAGGAATCCAAGGACTTCTTTGCATCGTTCTCAATCTGTCTCTTATACACATCTAACGAAACTGTTAAAGGAATCCAAGGACTTCTTTGCATCGTTCTCAATCTGTCTCTTATACACATCTAACGAAACTGTTAAAGGAATCCAAGGACTTCTTTGCATCGTTCTCAATCTGTCTCTTATACACATCTAACGAAACTGTTAAAGGAATCCAAGGACTTCTTTGCATCGTTCTCAATCTGTCTCTTATACACATCTAACGAAACTGTTAAAGGAATCCAAGGACTTCTTTGCATCGTTCTCAATCTGTCTCTTATACACATCTAACGAAACTGTTAAAGGAATCCAAGGACTTCTTTGCATCGTTCTCAATCTGTCTCTTATACACATCTAACGAAACTGTTAAAGGAATCCAAGGACTTCTTTGCATCGTTCTCAATCTGTCTCTTATACACATCTAACGAAACTGTTAAAGGAATCCAAGGACTTCTTTGCATCGTTCTCAATCTGTCTCTTATACACATCTAACGAAACTGTTAAAGGAATCCAAGGACTTCTTTGCATCGTTCTCAATCTGTCTCTTATACACATCTAACGAAACTGTTAAAGGAATCCAAGGACTTCTTTGCATCGTTCTCAATCTGTCTCTTATACACATCTAACGAAACTGTTAAAGGAATCCAAGGACTTCTTTGCATCGTTCTCAATCTGTCTCTTATACACATCTAACGAAACTGTTAAAGGAATCCAAGGACTTCTTTGCATCGTTCTCAATCTGTCTCTTATACACATCTAACGAAACTGTTAAAGGAATCCAAGGACTTCTTTGCATCGTTCTCAATCTGTCTCTTATACACATCTAGATGTGTATAAGAGACAGGGAAAAAGTTGCTTCAAATGACCTCAGGAACCTCCCATTTCCGGATTGCGAGACATTTCCGGGACATCCTGTGGAATAGTTGCAGGAGAAGGGTAATAAGGAGACGAGGCGTCGATTGGTGCAAGGTTCAGCATCCAAGCTAGTTAGTCTGGAGGTGTCGAGTCTCGAAGGCACTCGGTCGAGGAGCAATAGGCCGAGACAAAGCCGGAAAATCCAAGGAACCGCGGCGACGGCGGCGGCGACGGAGGAAAGGTCGATGGCTTTATACATAGAATTTTTAATAAGCGACATCGGCGCGCCCGCAATTCCCCGCGAAAGCGGAAATGTAAATTCAGCGCTTTCGCTGGCCGGAAGGGGAGGAAGGACCCGGTCTCTCTTGTAATGCCGACATTAAAATTGCAAACCGTGCAACGGGGCTCGCCGAAGCCTTCGTCCTCTATCCTCTCTCTATCCCCGGATCCTCTCCGTCTACTACCCCCGGTGACTATGATTGTCCGCGGAGATCTTCAAGTACTAACGTGGAAACAGTGTTCGAGCAGCAGTAAATGAAAGCCGCCGCTAGTCATGGAAACGCGTCTGCGGATGCGTCATATTAAAATCCGGCATTGTTCGTCTTCAATGCGGAGACGTCGCCAGGAAAGCGAGTTAGGCGAGAGGCGAGAGGGGCGCGGGGAGGAGAAGGCAGCGAGTGTGCGACCGGGTATATAGGGTGTTCCAGTTGCGATTGTCCGGCATTTTTCTTGCGAGAACGCGCGCAGGAAAGGAAAGGACGACGGGAGGACTTTTGAAATCTCTTCGATTCGTGTCTCATTACGAGCGCGTTTGTTTGCTGTTTTTCACGGTGAATTCGTATCGGGCGCTGCCTTTGTTATCCTATTGTGACGCGTCACCGTCTATAGAACGCCGCGGCCTCTATTTACCGATATCATGCCGAGCACACTGTGTACACAAATTAGCACGAACACGCGACTCGCCAATAGTAATGCCCTCTACGCCGTTCGTCGTTTCTTCGAAACGCGCAGTTCGAAATAGCTCGACGGGGACCGATAAACGGTCGATAAACAAAAATTACGCTCGTCCGTGTATAACCCTTTCGTTTCGCTACGGTGATGTTTCCCGTCGCTCATGGTTCACCGACGCGTCGCCCGCCGACGGCACCGAAAGGTTACAATATACGGTAATGTCTCTCTAATTGACGATCGGATTGCGCACGAAATTGGACAATTCGGGAACAGGAGATACGATTATTCGAGCCTTGAGGTTTATTTTTATATTATTATATTACTACAGTTATAAATTGTCCACGAATATTCGAATATATTCCTCTTCCCAAATTGTCTATTTTAGCGGACAATCTGAGCGTCAGTAAGGGAGACATTACTGTGCAACGCAAAAATGTCACGAACCGACAGTGGGAACAGCGACACCGAAACGGCGCACGAAATTGGACAATTTGGGAAGAAGATATACGATTATTCGAGCCTTGCGGTTTATTTTTATATTATTACATTATTACAGTTATAAATTGTCCACAAATATTCGAATATATAATATTCGAAATGAATACGAATAATCCTATCTCCCCTTCCCAAATTGTCCATTTTAGCGGACAATCTGAGCGTCAGTAAGGGAGACATTACCGTGCAACGCAAAAATGTCACGAACCGACAATAGGAACAGCGACACCGATACGGCGCACGATCCGTTCTAGCCAGCGACGAATTATGTATATCTTCATGGTAACCGGTGGTTCGTTAATCTATCTTGAACCCTAACCATTATTCCCGAAGGGTTAACCGTTCATTGTTAAGCAACACGCGCGCGGCGATCGAGTCTTTCCGCGTGCGAGAGGTCGTTCGGTTTTACGAGCGGCGATAAAACTCGATCGGAACGCGGACACCATGCGAATAGTTCCAGGAAAGAAAGGGCGAGCTGCTAGACAGGGGGGGGGGGGGAATAGCGTACAATTGCACAGAATTGTACAACGCTTTTTTCTTTCTCCTTTTCCGTTCGAGACGCTAATTTCGTGCCCGCGGAAGTCGAGCGGAAGCAGGGTCGTCGTCCCGAGAGGCCGGGTTCTCGAGATACAGAAATTCAGTAAAAATTCGCACTGTAATCACGCGAAGTAATAATCTCGGCAATCTCCGCAGAAATGGCATCCTAACCCTGTTAAGCGGAGAAAAGCGTTTCATTATCGCGTCGCCGGCCGAACCGGAAGTGGGTGACAAAAGATGTCCGCGGGAGCAGCAGCGATGTGCCTCGCCGGGCGTCCGACGGTCATTCAAATTCGGCGGATCGACGGGGGAAAACGGCTATATTAGCCGAATATTTGCGGGAAGCGCGCGTAGAAAGCAAAAAAAAGCAGCCCGACGACCTTAAACGAAAATACGCGGCGTTCCTCGGATCAACAGACTCTTTCACGTCCGAACGCGACTAATGGCCGACACATAAACAAACAATCGACGACACGCGACTCAACAGGCGACTGCGACGAGAGGGAACGCGTACGAGAGGCGGCTGAAAATGAACCGTGGACGAAACGAACGACGGGTTCGCGGATGCCTAATCCGAAGAATAACACGGTAAACATCGGGGAAACAAATGTGCATGGTACATCGATAAGGTGAGAGCCCGGTGGCGAGCTTTAGTTTGCTGCGTGTGCACGCCGAGGGCCCGACGGGTGTGTTAACGCGACGGAATACACAAATTGGAGGCGAGGGAACGCGAGGAACTTACCAGTGCACATTCGTTGATGGCAGCCACGGCACGTGTCCCGGTCGATCTTGTTCAAACACCGTTAAACAACTACTGAAAATGACAGCACAACGTGACACGCGAAACAAACCAGCCGGCCGGCCGCGCACCGACTACGAGAACTCGTTCGCGTACGCGCACAATTTTTACACGACTTACTCTGGCGACACCTTCCCCGCGACCGACAATTCGTCCCTACCCTTCGTCACGGTATCGAAGGTTTCGTTTTTAAACGAAACGACAACGTCGATAATCACTGGCGGAAACTTCGCTCGACCTACGTTCCTCGCGGCAGCGTACAACCTTCTAATGGGGCTCGCTCGCTGTACTGGCGGCGCACGGGGGAAGGATCGCCGATTGAGAAACACGGTGCCCATCTTGCGGTGCCATTTTGCACTGCGGCCCCTGAGGATATGCACCCGGACGCGGCAAATACGGAGCTGCAAAAAGTATTCGCGCGGTCAGATCTCTCTCGCGGTCGTGGAAATTTTAGTGAAACAGCCTACGATCTCGATGGTTTACCATCGTATTCGTCGCGGGAATAAAGGGATTTCATTCGGCGCGGTTATCGAACGTTCTCGCTCGCGATGCGTTTCAATTGTTGCATTTGTTCGACGTCCATTTTGCAAGCGTAGCTCGCGGAGGTTCGTTCCGGTTTACGAGGCTGAAAAGAGGGTAATGTTTAGGACCTTTTTAATAACAGAAGCGAATGAGATGATGAACCGAGGATCTTGATGTTTTATTACGTACCTTTTTTTTTTTTATCTAAAAATTATATAATTAATCGTTAGAGAGCGAACAAGCCTCCTCTTACAGGGGCTCCTTGTTTAACGATTTTTAAAAATAACCTTTGAACAGTGGAACATCTAGCTCCTCGACTGTGAATCCGAAAGCAAAATATCGAAATATATTTCTGAACTACGTAATATTTCCGTAACAATAAACCTCGAGAAGTATAAAAAAGAAAAGATCTTTTCACTTTACACATACTCTCCGATTGAGTCTCCGTTTCGATTTTCAAACAAATATCGATAAAGATTTCGAGATAAGTTTTACTTTCTGTTCGCATTTTAAAACGCTATAACAGAAAAATAGTACCGTTAAGAACATTCTGAAGCGATTGTTTCAAATCTCTCCATAAAATAAAATTTTTCGGGGTATGGATCGAGCGTGTGAGTAGTAGTGCGGAAGAACTACTTCGGCGGGAAGCGAACTGCAGGTTTATTTTCAACGAAAAGTTTTATTATAAGAATCTAGTTTTACCGTTTTGAAATGTGCAAAGATTCGTTAAAGAGATACATAAAAATAGTTTACAATTAAGGGATATTGGCGAGGTAATCCTTGACGCTGGAGGGGTCTAATCTCCTGAAACCGTTCGCATCGCAGATACCAACTTCTATATTATCCGCGGTCATCTGACCCTCGAAACTCTCCTTCAGGGTTAAAATAGCGGTGTGAACGGCGTCGTCCAATTCCAGAGAGTCGCTGTACCTTTTCTCGAGGAAAGTTTTGCCGTTCACGAAGTTCTTTCCCATGGCGGTGGCTTTCCATGGGAAATAAGCACCGGAGGGATCGCATTGGCACAGATACGGTTTGCCATTGTCCCAGCCACAAATTAATAAAGATACTCCGAACGGCCTGACTCCTCTGTAAATTAACAGAACGAACCAATGAATCGACGGTGTTCTAAATAAAAGGAAAGGATTATAAAATGTATCACGTACCCGGACTGTGTATATTCTTGCATAAGAATAGCAACTCGCTGCACCAACTGGGCAGTGGGTATAGGTTCTTGATAAACAAGAAGATACTGCTGAGCCATTTTACGCGCTTGTTTGACTAAAAGTCTATAGTCTGGTCCCATTCCGCTATAAGTCATCCCGATGTGTTTTGTAATCATCTCTACTTTGTTCACGCTGTGTTCGTCGTACAGTATGGATTTATGCTTGTTTTCGGTGGCCAGCACGATACCGTTGGATGCTCTGATACCCACGCTGGCCGCACCAGCTGCGACCGCAGCCAAGGCATATTCTATCTGCACCAGCTTCCCCGAAGGGCTGTAACAGATCGAAACGACTTCTATATAGCCTGACAACTGTACCAGAGGTATATCTGACGAGTCATGGTGAGTACATCGCAATGATATTAATTGATTTCCACAGCAAAGCAACAAATTGTTTATTTTTATGACCAGAATCGACTGTAAAATGCTTTTCAGATGAAATTCGGTCTTTTGTTAATGTACATTCAACGATTATTCCATAAACTAATGCAAGTGACTCGGTGTTAGGTTATATCTCTCGCGATGTGGTTTCACTGATAAATTGAATTAAAGTTATTATAACAAGTAACATTCGCTAAACTTAGGGTTCTGTGATCGAAAATTCTTACGAGAAAAATTGCTTTTTACCTGAAAGTTGTTAACGAGAAACTGTAACGCTCCGAAGCCATGACAATTACTTTTGGAACAATACAGCTTAGTAAATACTGTTAACGTCCTACCAACCGAAGCTCCGGTGGCGCCTAGGGATTTTTTTTACATAGATCTGCAGTATCTACAGTCGTATGGTAAGTTTTATCGTTCGGGCTTGAGTAATAGGTGATATTTAATCGCAGATAAGATATCTAAACCAATTATCTGCCGCGCCTTCTTATTACAAACCGTGACATGTCTACAACATAAATTCTTTATCATTCAGTTATCATATTCTGTCGTACCGACTGCAATTGACCTGACGAGTTTCGACGTAGTTCAAACATTCTCCGCTTTTAAATACAGAGGGCGCGATAAGTCAGATTTTCGGGGAGCGTGGCATTTATCCCTATATGTAGATAAAGTAGCTTCCACAACCCGTTTATCCCTATATGGGGATAATGAAGCTTGTACACAACCGTTCATCGGGCTACAAATGAAAAAAGAATATCGACAGACTGGAAGACGCTTTTCTGACAAGTTCTGTCGCACGAATAAATCGTCCCGCGAATTCGTGCGACATCGCGGTCAAAAATATGTTGAATGCGAACCTCGATTAAGGGCTTGATATATTCGATAGTAGAAGCCACCGAAAGGGGTAGCATGGCGACCGACGGGGATGAGAAAATCACGGAGGAGCAGAAGGAACAGTTGCACACGTGGATCGCCGCGATTCCATTCTCGAAACCGAGCAGAAATTTCGTGAGAGACTTTGCAGACGCCGGTACACTTCCACGTGATCTTTCCGAATTTATTTAACAAGAACCACGTGTTCTACGTCGATCGTACCCTCGCATATAGATTACATGGTGCCTGAAGTATCGCTCAGAATTTTTCCGAATTTTTTTCCGAATTTCCATCGAGGAACGATTCTGTTTCATTCATTCAAAGTAACGCTTCTTCTCAGTGTTGATGGCGGAGCTCCTCAAGGTGTACTACCCCCGTTACGTCGACCTCCACAACTACGTGCCGGCGAACAATTTCACCACCAAAAAAGAGAACTGGAACATACTGAACCGAAAAGTCCTCAGCAAGATTGACATGAAACTGTCGAAGGACACGATCAACCAATTAGCGAACTATCATCCGGGGGTGATCGAACACTTGCTGCTGGAGCTTCGGACCAGATTGCTGAGGGATCCCGAGCACCAGGACAGTTTGCGCCGCATCAGTGAAAAGGAACCGATCGTCGAAAGTAGCCGGACATCATCTAATTCACGAAATCTCGAACTCTCCGGTTAAGGGATGAATTATACACTCCATTGAGTTCTAAAAGAATTACGTATTCGCCGAGCCCCGCAGTCCTCTGAATTTTTAACGTTTTAATAAGACACGAATTCGTCGAGGCTCGCGGTCATTGAATTTTTCAAGATCCTCGCGAACTGCGGATTCATAAAGGTCTACAAATTTCTGGAAGTTTACCAAGTCTTTGATGTTTAAAAAATGCTCGCGAACTATAAAGTCGTCGTAGTTCATTAGTCCGCGGATTTTAAAAAATGCTTGCGAACGGTAAATTCATCGGAGTCCACGGTTCTTCGAATTCTTCGAAATCCTTGCAGACTCCAAGGTCATCGAGGTCCATAGACCTTCGAATCATTTGAAATGCTAACGAACTATAAATACGTCAAAGTTTACAGGCTTCATTCATGTCAGGTAAAAACGACGCTGACGCCGAGAAAGAGAGATCGATCTTCTGTTCGAATGACCCCGATCAATCAACGCCGGAAGGATCGTTGCTGAAGCGCATTAAAACGCGGCTCATCTTTATTTTCCACTGGCTGTGTCTCTGGCTTCGCATCTGGCAGCACTTGCCGGTCATATGGCACCGAGGTTCACGTAAGTTGTGCGCGTTTTCGCGAGCGCGTTATCGCGTCGAACCGAACTTGGAAACGGCTCGTTTCTCCTTCCCGGCGCGAAGAAGGCGCCGCCTTGTCCAGGAGGCAGGACACGTCGCAGAACACCAATTCGGAGGACGTCGTCTCCCTTCAAGTGTGCACGGAACTGCGGCAGAAGCTCCGCGCGAAGGACGACCTTATCTCCAGCTTGAACTGCAAGGTCGCGTACCTCGAGAACGCGATGAGGGCGCAGGACCTGAGGATATCGAGCCTGGCCTCGCGGATTTTGCAAAACGCCGTCGACTCGGAGCAACTGGCGAGGAACCAGACGAACGCCGCGATGGCCAAGCTTCGTCCTCGCTCGGCGACCGTTCGCGAGAAAGTGAAGGTGGAGGAATAATGTGTATCACAGACGGGGCCAATAAACGTCGGATCAATTATCATTGCGTTCGATCTCTCTCTGCGAGGGTCAAGCGTTCCAAGGTCCACAGAAATTCGAAAGCTTCGCGCGACGTCTAAACTTTCTCGGGAAGATCGTAGACTCGTAATGTTCGGAGACCATGACTGTTACAGTAAATTCTTCCTAATCGACGATCGGGAGGGGATACGATTATTCGAGCCTTGCGGCTCGTTTTTACAATCATTAACGATCCGTAATTATGTCGAATAATCGTATCTCCTCTTCGCAAATCGTCCATTTTTGTGCACGATCTGACCACGAATTAGGGAGAATTTACTGTAATCTGAGAGTCAATTAGGGAGAATTTATTACCGAAACGAGACAAAATTGATGTATTGAATTTTTGCTTGATATGATTTTGCTTAGTAATTGATGAATAGATATGACCAGAATCTTCTTGGTCACCGATAACCATTATAAATGACGGAAATAGTTTTCGGTTTTGTCTTTTTGTTAAAAATAACAATTGTATCGGCGACGAGAATGGTAATTCGTTTCCAGATCGTCGTTGCAATCGACAAAAACAGTCCTCGTTTATGAATAACCATTTCCACGGATAAACAGAATCGTACAGGGTGTCTCTCTCGAAACAGGACACCTGAATATCTCCTCCAATATCTCCTCTTTAACGCGTGCATTGTTCAGTGAGCAAATTTATTGTTAGACAATCTAGAGCCAAGCGAATTCGCGGCAACTTCCCCGAATTAATTTCATTCGTCTTCTTAACGTCCCGACAGGTGCGGATTGCGTTTAAAAGAACATGGTAAGCATTTTCGAAAATGTCGCTCGCGTCACCTGTTCTATTTTAGTCGTTCGTCCGAACAGAACCGAACCGTGCCGTGATTGAACGCGCGATCTAAATCGGGCCTTATCGATTTAAATCAGGCGAAAATTTCGATCGGTCGAACTTGATTTTGCAGTCGCCGCTAATAAATTGGCTGTCTGGCGAGCGCATTAATGCGAGACGCAACGAGTTCCTCTGCAGGAGGAAGCAACCAGGGAACTTGACCTTAAAGTTCGTGAATGCCACTCTCTCGTCGGTGGTTCTTCAGCGAGCGAGCGAGAGAGAGAGAGAGAGGGAGGGAGATGGAGAGAGAAGAGAGAGCGAGAGAGAGGAAGAGGAAAAAAGAGAGAGAGAGGGAGGGAGAGAGCGAGAGAGAAGTGGCGGAACGGGGCGAGTGGAAAGAGAAAAGAGAAAAGTGGGAAAGAGAGGAAACGAGAGGAACTGGTTGCCGGCACACGGCCACGTATCGTAATGTCAGTACAGAGGCAACGCTTCGGCAGAAACGGCACGCAAGCACCTGAGAGTCTCGAGTCAGCCTGAATGAAAATTTGGTAGCAACCGGTGTGAGTATGGTTCATCGTCGAGCTGAAATTATTTCTCTCCGCCTCCTTTTCTCTCTTTTTCTCTCGGTCTCTTTTTCTCTCTCGGTCTCTCTTTCTCCCTCTCTCCCTCTCTTTTCTATCTCGGTCTCTTTTCTCTCTTTCTTTCTCTCTTTCGGTCTCTTTTTTCTCTCTCGGTCTCTTTTTTCTCTCTATTTATCTCCCTCTCTCTCTCTTTTTCTCTCTCTCTCTTGGTCTATCTTTCTCTTTCTCTTGGTCTCTCTCTCACTCTTTATCTCTCTCGGTCTCTTTTTTTCTCTCTATTTATCTCCCTCGATCTCTCTTTCTCTCTCTCTCTCTCTCTCTCTCTCTCTCTTGGTCTATCTTTCTCTCTCTTTCTCTTGGTCTCTCTCTTGGCCTCTCTCTCTCTCTTTCTCTCTTAGTCTCTCTCTCTCTCTCTCTCTCAGTCTCTCTCTTTCTCTCAGTATCTTTTTTTCTCTATCTCTCTATCTCTTTTTCTATCTCCCTCTCTGTCTGTCTTTCTCTCTCCCTCTTTCGGTCTCTCGTGCCGCTGCTTGACACTTTTTCCGCTGTCCCTTTGAATTTCGACCATCCGACGGTCTCTCGCGCGGTCACGACCACGTTAACATCGCGTTCTCCAATTACCATCGGGCCGGGCGTTCCGCGTCCCGGCAAATTTTAATTGCGAACGGGGTCTCCCGATAACGTTGCACGTCGGGAAACCGTTCCCCGGAATCGGCGACAATTGTCCACAACGTGTAACAAGCGACACGATTAAGAGAGAGAGAACAACACAGGGTAAACATGTGAGGAGCGGCAGAGCCGATTTCAGGAAATGATTAAATACGATGTTTTTGCTGGACACGATTAATAATCGCGTCGATCCGACGTGGACGCGAGGACTCTGGGTTCACAGGTAAATTCGACGCGAGAACCGGTTTGCCTCGTACGAAGGGACACTGGTTTCTAATAACGAACGGTATTCCCCGAGATCTTCGTGCACGTAATGGTCGCAATTCCCCGTGTAATTGCGTTTGCGCCGCGATCGAACGCATCGCGTACGGGAATACGAATCTTGATTGACGCATCGGAACTGACTCGAGGCATTCCGTCAAGTAGAACGTCGGTGTCCGATATGTCTAACGACCCGTGTTTCACGGTCGTCGACCTTTTGCCTGGCGTTCTCTCGATCGGGAGACTTCAATGCTACCGGCGCGCCGCGCAGCGTCGCGGTGCGATCGCCTCGATTTTTCTAGGAATTAAGAGACCGAATTTATTTACGTAGAATTCTGGATTAGAAAAGCACGGCTCTTTTTCTTTATAAAGCGTGTAATTTTTGATAAAGAAAATTATCTCCTCCGGAATTAGCCTACTAATAAGTCCTGGGCATTTCGCAGCAAATGTTACTGACTTGAATAATTTAATACTGGAATTATCAGATCAGTGAAAAATACTAGCTTACGGCTTTTTTCTTTCACAGTTACTGTGATTATGAAAATGTTTCTTTGAGGAATTTGTTCATATAACTTCTTTGCTGAAGCATATATTGTAAGAAATATTATATTTAAGCATCGATTTTTTAATTCCTAGAAAAATATAATTGATCGTCCGAAGGAACCTGAAATTTTAATCGGATCTTATTGACTCAAATAACTGAAACACATCAGCAAGCATCAATCTTTTAATTCCTAGAAAAATATAATTGATCATCAGAAGGAACCTGAAATTTTAATTAAACCCCAATGACTCAAATAATTCAAACACGTCAACAAGCGCCAATCGTTCTTCCGTAGATCGTAACCGCAAGAATCTAGCCGATTGTCACGATCGACAGCCGTTCGTCCGCTTTTTGCCGAGGCCGCATCTCCGTAATCGTGTTTTTCCTGCGACATAAATAAATCTCACGATCATCATGGCACAATATGTCACGCATTCTCGTACACGATTTATTTAGATGATGTTTCTGAAGATCGTGCCGTGCACGGCGCTCTGTTACTTGGCCGTAGCGGCGATATTCGGCGTGCTGCTGTTTCTGCTAGCGGTGTTCCTCTACAATCAGTACACCCTGGGCTTCTGCATCAGCAACGCGAGCATGGAAGGGAAGACCGTGTTGGTGACTGGATGCACTTCCGGTATCGGCAAAGAGACTGCGCGGGACATGGCGAAAAGGGGCGCGAGATTGATCATGGCGTGTCGCAACGTCGAAGAGGCCAACAAGCTGAAAGGTACGCTTGACCAACGGCGTGAAACTTTTACATTTTTCGATGCACCTTGATGAACGTGTCACGAATGACTCGTGCAGATTCTCCCGAGAAAAATGAGTCCAAACACGGCGTCGTTCGGAATTTCTTCAAATAGTGTTACAACTTTTTCATTACATTAGCTGTCGATAAAAAATATTCGATTACATGGAAGTTATTGTACTGCTGGGAATATTATCGCAAAGATGAAGCGTGACACAAAATAAATGGAATACACGTACAATACATAATGCGTGTGTAGTATAATAATTAACGTGTAACGTAAAATAAGTGTAATATATAATATTATTCATAATAATATAAATATAATTATATATAATATTATTATATAATATTATATAATATAATATATATATCATTATAATATATTACAGTTACTTTATGTCACACGTGCATTTTTATATTACACGCGCATTAAGTATTATACGTGTATTTTATTTATATATATCTAAATAATATATAAAGTGTAATATATATAGTGTAAAAAATGCGTGTATTTGATTTATCGTGGAATACTGAAATCTCTGGTTGATAGCCGCTGCTTCCCCGACTCGATAAAATGCGGAACAGAATTTTCGAATAAGAAATCAGATAGGCACATTCTCTTCGGTGTCAATTAATTTCGCACATCAAACGATTCCAAGTGGCGGATCTTGTAACGGCTAGCGGAACCGCGGAATCCACGCTCGTGCTCGCTGATTACGGATCGATCTAAATGTTTTCCATTGATAATTATCGCGGCGCTTCGCGTTTCGCGATAATTACATGGTAATGTAGTGCGCGAGAATATCGCCGCGGTTCGCTTACACGTGCAAATCCTCTTCGACTTATTCCGACGGTAATACGTGTTCGCTGAATCCGCAGCACTGTACCACCGAATTAGGGCCACCCTTAAGAATTCGGTTCTCTAATTACGGTCGCTGAAATCGTGACATAGATTCGTCACATTTTTGTGATTCGTCGCAACGCGTTTCACGTAACATTTCTTTTTCTTCAAAAATAAATGTTTTATCAAGAATTTAAATTGTAATGTTTAAATAGCTAATTATTTAATAACTAGTATATATATATATATATATATTATACTAATAAAAATTATATTATTTAAATAATTATATATATATATATATATATATAGCATAATTATTTAAATAATATAATTTTTATCAATATTACAATGGGTTCACTTAGGGTCCAATTACAACATGGGTTCATTGAACACTAAAACAACAGAATATTAAAATTGTTCAGTGTGCATTTCCCTATCAAAATAAGAAAACCTTATTTATTCAGATTTTGCACAGCTTTTAATATAATAGTTGCTACAATAACATAATGTATTCGATTTAACGTAATTTATTTCTCATGAAAGCGTCTTCGCAATTTTTACGAATTGTAAATTTAACTATCGTTGTGCCTGTATTCAAAAAATTACACCATAAATGCGACTAGAAATTATATTCGAACGATGCAAAGAATCGTCGATGACAAAAGTATCGGTAACGTTGCAAATTTCGTCCGACCCGAATTCAACGGCACCGGACAGCAGCGTGGAAAACGAACTGCGTTTGTTCGCAGAGGAATTCGCGAAAGAGACGAAGAACAGCAACATCGTGGTGCGGAAGCTGGACCTGTCGTCGTTGGCCTCGGTCAGGGAGTTTGCCGAGCAAATAAACCGCGACGAGAGCAGGCTGGACGTGTTGATACACAACGCGGGGACCGCGGAGGTCTTCAGGAGGAAAGTGACCGAGGACGGTCTGGAAATGACCATGGCGACCAACCATTACGGGCCGTTTCTGCTCACGCATCTGTTGATCGGTGAGATAACTGCTTTCTACCTTTAACGACTCCGTTACGTTGCCCATGAAACAACGGAAGAGCTTCGCCGAGTCCGCTGTTCACTCGATTAATTATATCATTTTATATCATCATATATTAATCATAATAATATCATAATAATAATATAATATTATATCATTTTAAATCATCATATATCAATCATAATAATATCATGATAGTAATATATTAATATTATATCATTTTATATCGTCATATATCAATCATAATAATATCATAATAATAATATATTAATATTATATCGTTTTATATCATCATATATCATCATATATCAGTCATAATATCATAATAATAATATATTAATATTATATCGTTTTATATTATCATATATCAATCATAATAATATCATAATAGTAATATATTGATATTATATCGTTTTATATCATCATATATCAATCATGATAATATCATAATAATAATATATTAATATATTATATCATTTTATATCATTATATATCAATCACAATAATATCATAATAATAATATAATAATATCATGTATATATAACACAAAGTAAGGACAAAAAAATAATATAATAATAAAAATTCTACAATACAAAAAATATATAATAACATAACATATATAACAAAAACAAATAAAATCGTTAAAGCAAAACCCTTTGTTGCAGAAGAAGCAATTCGATATTTCAATTCAACCCCTGCACCAACCATATAAAATCTCTTTCTCTCTATCTCCTTCCATAAAAAAAGGGTCGCGTTTCTCCCGCGCACGCGAATAAACAAATCATCGATTCCCATCAAAATCCCCAATCTATTAGCAATCCTGTATCGCCGGCAGATTTGCTGAAGCGATCGAAGCCGAGCCGCATAGTGGTCGTCGCCTCGTCCCTGTACGTCCTAGCACGACTGAACCTGAACAACGTGAACCCAACGACGAGCTTCCCCGGTTACCTCTACTACGTCTCGAAGTACGCGAACATAATGTTCACGTTGGAGTTGGCGCGGCGTCTTCAAGGCACGGGCGTGACCGCGAACTGTCTGCACCCCGGCCTGATGAGCACGGGCATCTGGAAGAACGTGCCGCCGCCAATGTCGTGGGCGGTGAACTTCCTGCTGAGGACCTTCTGCAAGACCGAGCTCCAGGGCGCCCAGACCACCATACACTTGGCCGTGGTCCCCGATTTGGCGGACGTCTCGGGCAAATACTACGCGGACTGTCGGGTAAGTCGCGGCGATATATCACCGCGATTCGAGAATTTCTGCCTGATCGACACGTTTGCCTCGGTTTCAGGAGAGGACTCTGTGCTGCGGCGTGGACGACCCGGCCAAGGGCAAGAAGCTCTGGGAGCTCAGCGAGTCCCTGGTGAACTTGCAGCCGACGGACCCGAAGATATGAGGAGCCAGCTGCGTGGATCGAGGCGCGAGATCATCGTGTTCTTCCAAAGTATTCGAGAACTTCGCAAGTTCGTCCCTTATAGTACTCGCGACTAGTTGTACGCCTTTACGGGAAGCTGCGTGTGTATTCAGCTTCGGACGATGGAGCTGGCAACAATAAATGTTTCTCTTTCTGTCTTGTACCAGGGCTAGAGGTTGGACTCGCGGACGAAAACGATTTTCCACGATCCTTTGTGGAAATGTATTAGGTCGAGACGCGAGTAACTTTCGTTCTTTTGTCGGATATTTTTATATTGTTCTTTCTTTATGTATTTTATTCATTTCGAGCTCTTGTTTATTCGGTGGAAGCAACGATCTCGATTCCAGTTGCATCGGAAGTTGCTTGTGACTCGACTAAATACAGTAATTTCTTCGTAATTTGCGCTCAGATTGCGAAAATGGCTCGTTTTTATAGTCACCGATTGTCAATAACTGTAAAAACGAGACGGGAGGCTAAAATAATTGCGTCTTCTCTTCGCGAATTGTCCACTTTTGTGCGCAATCCGAGCGCGAATTAGGGAGAAATCGCTGTAGAAGGAAGTTTTACGGAGCGCAAGGAACGCGACAGAAGCGGAAAGGAGTGAAAATGAAAGCGCAGCGACGATCTCTGCATCTTGCTATATTTATACTGCTTCGTCTTTGGACAGAAGACTAGTCGCGTTGATCGAAACGAAATCGGTTCGAGAAGTTCTCAGTGTTTCACGCTGTGCGAGCCGCCATATTTCGCGCTCGCGCCCTGCGGCCCGGATGGCAGAGGGAACAGCCTCTCCCAGAAACGCATTCTCTCCGGGAAGAAGTCCGTCCTCATAGTCGGATGTAGATTCAAGTCGAGGTAATCGGTTCGCGACGGCACGAACGTGTCCCACGTCACGTTTCGGAACTTCTCGTCGTTCCTCGGTATTGGTTCGCCGGTCTCCACGAAGTTCGACCATATGGAGGTGGAAATCTCCACCATGGGGATTTCCGGCGCGTCGCTCTCGAAGTACGGGAAGAGTTTCTTCAGCCAGAACAGGTACTGCAGGTCGTCTTGATGAGACACACCGTCTGGAACCGATGAAACAAGTGTCAAGTATTTCTGATCGATCGGTCGCGTTAGGCTGTGCAATATGTCCGCTCGCGTTGATGCAATGTTAGCCTGATCTATCATATCTTGAAGCAGATACTTCCAGCTTTAATTTAAGCTAAATTTCATAGAAATAGCCCCACGAGAACATATTTTAAAATTTATCTGAACTTTTCCTCTTAAATCTCCTCTTAAATTAAAACCTATAATGTTAGAAGTTGATTCATTTTAATTTTTTGAAATGATCTTGTCATTCCATTGCAATCTAATCTATCCTGTCTTGAAGTAGACACTTCCGGCTTTAATTTGAGCTAAATTGCATAGAAATAGTCCCACGAGAACATATTTCAAAATTTATCTGAACTTCTCCTTCTAAATCTTGTAAACCCCATGATGTCAGAAATCGGCTCATTTTAATTTCTCGAAATGATTTCGTCATTCTACTGCAATCTAATCTATCCCATCTTGAAGTAGATACTTTCAGCTTTAATTTGAGCTAAATTGCATAGAAATAGCCCCACGAGAACATATTTCAAAATTTATCTGAACATCTCCTTCTAAATCTTGTAAACCCCATGATGTCAGAAATCGGCTCATTTTAATTTCTCGAAATGATTTCGTCATTCTACTGCAATCTAATCTATCCCATCTTGAAGTAGACACTTCCAGCTTTAATTTAAGCCAAATCATATAGAAATAGCCCGACGAGAACATATTTTAAAATTTATCTGAACTTCTCCTTCTAAATCTTGTAAACCCCATGATGTCAGAAGTGGACTCATTTTAGTTTTCCGAAATGATCTCGTCATTCTACTCCAATCTAATCTATCCTGTCTTGAACTAGACACTTCCAGCTTTAATTTGAGCTAAATTTCATAGAAATAACCCCACGAGAACATATTTAAAAATTGATCTGTGTAACACGGTTTTACCAAATGGCGTGGTGGCGTTCCACATTTGGAAGCTGTAGCGCGACTTGAACGTGAACTTGTAGAAGTACACCGGTTGTTTGGAGTAGGTAGCGAACAGCTTGGCCGCCCGGTACATAGGGAATATAATTATGCCGTCGCCGTACAGCTGTAAAATGGTAAACGATATTCGATAACGTCCCAAGGCAAAAGCTCCCCTGTATCGACAACGGTGCGTCGAGAATTGTTCTACTAACCAGACCAACTTCTTTGTTGGTAGCCGAGTTGATCGGCCTGTCCTGGAAGTAGAAGTTCCTCAGTTCCCTGCTGATGTGGTGCGATCGAGGAGTGTCGCGTTCGTAAAAGAGTATGATGGGAGCGAGGCGGTACCACTCGTCGTTCAGTTCCTGATAGGACGTGCCATTTCTCCTGTAGTCGAGCTCGTAAGCTGAAACGAGAGACCATGGTTCAAAGATATCGATGTCGAAGACTTCGGAGACACCGTGAGATACTTACCAACGGATACTCCTCCGAACTCATCCTGCGTGACGCCGAGTATGTACGGCACCTGTTTGAATTTTCCTTGCTTGATCAAGTCGTACGGTTGAGCGGTCAGGAATCTCTCGACACCACGGACCTCGGGTTCCACCGTCGGATGCCAGAGCAGGATCGGGTTGCCTTTCCAATCCTTCATGAGAAAGGGTAATTGACCTTAGGCTTGTGATGTTCGTCAAATTAACTCCTAACACTAGTGATATTGCATTTGACTTGAGGTCAAATATACTTTATCAATTAATAGTGACTTGATGTCAAAGGGATTCTGTATCAATTAATAGTGACTTGATGTCAAGTAGACTTCGTATCAATTAATAGTGACTTGACTTCAAATAGACTTTGTATCAATTAATAGTGACTTGAGGTCAAATAGACTCTCTATCAATTAATAGTGACTTGATGTCAAATAGACTCTCTATCAATTAATAGTGATTTGATGTCAAGTGGATTCTGTATCAATTAATAGTGACTTGATGTCAAATAGACTTTATATAAATTAATAGTGACTTGACGTCAAATGGATTCTGTATCAATTAATAGTGACTCGATGTGTCAAATAGACTTTATATCAATTAATAGTGACTTGACTTCAAATAGACTTTGTATCAATTAATAGTGACTTGAGGTCAAATAGACTCTCTATCAATTAATAGTGACTCGATGTCAAATAGACTCTCTATCAATTAATAGTGACTTGATGTCAAATAAACTCTGTATCAATTAATAGTGACTTGACATCAAATAGACTCCGTATCAATTAGTAGTGACTTGAGGTCAAATAGACTCTCTATCAATTAATAGTGACTTGATGTCAAATAGACTCTATATCAATTAATAGTGACTTGACATCAAATGGATTCTGTATCAATTAACAGTGACTTAATGTCAAATAGACTCTCTATCAATTAATAGTGACTTGACGTCAAATAGACTCCGTATCAATTACTAGTAACTTGACATCAAATAGACTCCGTATCAATTAACAGTGACTCGACGTCAAATAGACTCTGTATCAATTAATTATCACTTGGATAACTCACGAACATCGAAGACAGGGTGTCACTGAAGTTCTCGAAAGGCTTCGTGTTCAGGCAGAGCAACATGGAGCCGGTGGTGTCGGTGGGACAGTTCAGCAGCTCGGCTTGCTTCTTAGCCAGCTCTTTCTGTCCCGAGTTCGAGATGCCGCTATAGACATCCGCCGCCATCGCCGAGCTGCTCATGGAGATAGCTCTGTGGAACAGATTCTGAGACATAGGCGACACCATGTGTAACATGATGCTGAAGCTGCCGGCGCTGTCGCCAACGAGAGTGACGGCGTTCGGGTTGCCACCGAAGTGAGCGATGTTCCTCTGGATCCATCGGAGAGCTATCACCTGGTCCTTCAGACCATTGTTACCTGGCGCCAAGTTGTCGCCGGTGCTCAGGAAACCTGGAAAGTTCATCTGTAAGATCCCCGTATCTGCGAATTCGCAGACACAGGGATGTTTAATGTTTGCGGAGGGTACCTAAGGACCCTAAGCGATAGTTGATGGAAACCATAACGATGTCCTTGTCCATGATGTACTGCGGACCCCACCACGAACTTTGACCGGAGTAGCTGTAGAAGCCACCGGGGTGGATGAACACCATCACTGGCCTCGATACAGTCTCGCCTTCGCAGGGCAGCTGAAATTAATTTGGTTGGGTAATTTGGTAGGGTTGTCCAGCTGGATACTGTGGGATGGCCAATTATTGAGTCTTTAGTTTATTTCCAAGATTAATTCACATTATATTTACTATTTAATATATTCAAATTTAAGATATTATATTTACTATTTGATATATTAAAATGTAAGATATTATATTTACTATTTGATATATTAAAATGTAAAATATTATATTTACTATTTAACATATTCAAATGTAAGACATTATATATTTACTATTTGATATATTAAAATGTAAAATATTATATTTACTATTTAACATATTCAAATGTAAGACATTATATATTTACTATTTGATATATTAAAATGTAAAATATTATATTTACTATTTAATATATTAAAATATGAAATATTATATTTTCTATTTAATATATTAAAATATGAAATATTATATTTACTATTTAATATGTTCAAATATAGAATATTATATTCACTATTTAATATATTCAAATATGAAATATTATATTTACTATTTAATATATTAAAATATGAAATATTATATTTACTATTTAATATATTCAAATATAAAATATTATATTCACTATTTAATATATTCAAATATAGAATATTATATTCACTATTTAATTTATTAAAATGTGAAATATTATATTTCCTATTCAATATATTAAAATGTGAGATATATTTACTATTTATTACTTTTTACTTATTATTATTTTCTACTTATTATTATTTTTACTTATTCTTATTTCTTACTATTATTTTCTACTTATCATCATTTTCTACGCATTATTTTCAACTTTTTATCGAGCGAACAGTCGCTCGTGACTTAGGGGTTAGCAATCACTGTACTCACTTTCGTGGTGTACACGTTCAACCGCAAGCAATCCTCGGAGGGTTTCTCGGCCCGCGGATAAGGGCAACTTGGTCCCTCCTCGCTGGCATCGAAGGTGTCCTGCCAATCGGCTGCGGGAATCGGCGGCTGTGAACACGTGAAGCTAAAGATAACGATGCTTACTATCGACGAGAGTCATAAAGTCAACGCGATCGTCGACTCGTATGTTGTTATTCGTCGGTAATCGGATGATCTCGTGACCGCGGTATTTATCACTGAAACGGAAAAGTCTCGTTACACCGTTCCGTGAATAACGATCGTGCGAGCCTCATTGTCTCCACCTACGTCGAGCCGCATCTCTTTCGCAGCTGCCTGCGACCAAGGCCACGGCGCACAGTGGTTCAGGTCTTATGCAGATGCGTTCGTTATAATTTCTTTTTTTTTTAAATACCAGGTTTTCATTGCTTTCTACCCTTTCGTTTATGCAGTTAATTACCTAAGTACAGTAAAGCCTCCCTAATTGGCGCTCGACTGTGCATAAAAATGAAACAGAAATGAATAATTTGGGGGAAAAAAGGAGATACGATTATTTCTTCTCTTTCTTTCTCGGTTTTATAGCTACCGGTTGTCAACAACTATGAAAACGAGCCGCAATAAATAATCGTGCCGTATGAAATGTCAATGAAAATTAATTGAAAATTATTGCTCGACAAAGGTATAAATTATATAACTGTCTACAGTTAAAAATGATTATTTTTTAACATTAGATTTACGGAACTCGTAAAAATGACGGGTCTCTGATTTTTTTATTTACGATCATTCGTATCGTAGAGACACATTTACGAGTTATTTATTCAATCTATATGTTACTTACGGCAAATGTTACAACAACCGTGGTTCAAAATCAGAATAAACGTCTTACTTTTACTCATAAACTTTTATAAACGAATATAAGACAGCTGTTATTTCTGCTCGGTAAATCTAGCGTTAAATATTTCCGGCGACAATTTCGTCGCAATATCTTTATTGCAATTAAATTAAAAAATTATTATTATTCAAAAGTTACAATAAAATGTCAGCGAATTTCCGGTTAACTGTACATCGCGTCGCTTACTTGGAAACGCTGTTGTCCGACGGGCGGCTCCGCGTATCTGATGCCGCGGAACGAGTAGATCTTCCGGCCCAATCTCGAGTTCAAAATGGAGCCGCAAATGGGCCCAGTCGGCGGGTTCACCAGCACCGGTTTCTCCTCGGTCGCGTTCTGCGCGGCGACGATGCTGGCCGCGCAACAGCAGAAGAAAATTAACAAAGCGGTCCTCATCCCGCGTTCGTTCCGATGCGTGTCTCGACTGCGAAAGCTCTGCTTCTCGGCGGAAGTTCTGCAAGCGTTGGATCGCTTCGGCTGTGTCGCGCTCGACCGGTGCTCGCGCGAGCACTGAACAGCGACGGGGCAAGTCCGAGCGATTTATACATAGTTGCGACGAGGAAAGCGAGTGGGGAAATCCAATTACACTCGCCGGGAACAATGGTGCTGCGCGAACGATCACGTAAGATCGCCCCGTGCAAGCAAACACGTATCTCGAGCTTTTTTTCGCGAATCTACCATCATCCGCGGCCGGAGGATCTTGCCAATTGCCTCGTGCTTTGATCAACGACAATTTATCGCCCGAGCCCTGGCTCGTTACTCATCGCCACGGCGCGGAGAATCGTCGCGATTCTCGAGGAAACGTATGAATTCGGATCGCCGTTCGTCGTTCCCGCGGAACAAAGCGTTCCAAGTTGATCTGGATCGCTCGAGATTGGATCCGCGACAGCGTAGCGAGCTGCTGCGACAGCGTTCGATGGGGTGGTCGGGGTGGTTACCGCGGGGTAGCCAGTTACTGTGCCTTTAGCTTATCGTCAGGCTTAAAGTTAACTTTGTATTAGTTATTTTGTAAAGTTACACGTAAAGTTTACTCGGCGTGAAAGACAGAAGTTTTTGAGGTGCTGTAATAATTACTTCAATTTTTTGGTAGCCGCGAAGTTCTTTGCAGAGATTGTGCGAAAACAAGGCTTTAAAACTGCTAAACGAAGGAAAATCGATACAGTTCGGTGAAACGAATCGTTCTAACTAACGTATCGCGGTGTTAATTGCATCGATAGAACGTATTAAGATTACGGTGAAAACAGAACAGTCGTTTGAATATGTGTTATCGCTTTCAAATTGCAATTGTTTATTTACCGTGCACGATATAACTGAACTGATTTTGCACGCGTCGCATTGCTTACCGAAGGATTTTATATCTCGAATCGTCTTAGTAGGTTTTAAAGGAAAGAAATGTAAATATGAAATTAAACTCAAATTTATTTATTATTACTTTATTTATTTGTTAAATTTGTATTTCGTACAGTTGCTCAGTATTAAGCCAGGAAGCACAGTAATTGGAGCACAGTGTCCAAGGAAGTGTTACAGAAATCGAAGCACAGTGTTCAAGGAGGAGTCACAGTAATTGAAGCACAGTATTCAGGGTGGGGGCACGGTAACTGAGGCACAGCGGCTGATCTTTCGAGATGATTAGGCACACAAAAGCCAGCTACAGAACATTTTCTTCTTTCTCAATGGTCGGAAAAGGGTACAGTAATTGAAGCACAGTATCGAGGAAGGTGACACAGTAATTGACCATTGTAGATCACAGGCACACCGTAATTGGTTCCAGGAACTTGCTGATCTTCCTCCCAATATTATATTAGTAAAATCGATTAAAGAACAAAACTTAGATAATTTAACCTCGCAGTTCTTAAGAAATGTCAATTAAATAACCAAAGTTGCTTTTACTAGTTGAAACCCCCCGAGGTCGGTGATCAGGGCACGGTAATCGGTTCCTTCACCCTGGACGGCCTCGTTGACAAGGAGAACAGAATTTCGCGCTCGTTTCGCAAACACTTCGGGCCGAATTTGCTCCAAGCAAACAAACGATAAGGAGCGTAAACGTTTTATTTGCTGATACATTTATGATACATTTGTTCAACGCGTTTGCCAGAGAGTTTCTGGGAAGCGTTCTAGACTCGATAGAACGCAGGGAACGCATGATTGATTACGTTCGTCGAGCGCACGATCGTTTAAGTTCGTTGAACGTTCGCCGCGGCATTTTACAGCGGGGGCAGCGGGAACAGCGTCTCCCATTCGTGCATTCTGGCAGGGTGCAGGCCGGTTCTCATCGTCGGCTCCACATTGATCTCCAGGTAGTTGTCCTTCTGCGACGTGAACCTGTCCCAGACGATGTGCTTGTACGGGCCGTCCTTCGGGATCGGTTCTCCGGTCTGCATGAAGTTCGTCCACATCGACGTGTACAACTCCACCATCGGGATCTCGGGCGCGTTGCTCTCGAAGAACGGGAAGATCGCCTTCATGAAGAACAGGTACTGCAGATCGTCGTGGTGCACCACACCTGAAATCCGAGGAAAATCCATTCCGAAATTATCGTCCAATTTCCAATGGAACTCCGTGCTGACGCGCGCACTGCTCGGCCAATTACAGTAAATTTCAATTTTCCATGAGCTTGCAAACAAAAGTGGACAATTTGGAGCCAATTACAGCGTGCCTGTGATCCATAAAGGTCAGTTACTGTGTCTCCCTCCCGAATACTGTGCTTCGATTACTGTATTCCCTCCTTGACCGTTTTTAACGAACTAATTACTGTCTTATCGATACGGAGGGAATAATTAAAAGGTCGCGTTGGAGGAAAAAGTTGAGGTCATCGAATGACGGATAAGACTTGGTTCCTGAGGTCATTAGAAGCAACTTTTTCCTTAGCGAAAATGCGATCGGCGGCTTCGTTTACGAGTTATTAACGAAAAACGGCGACCAATGAGCGGCGAGGTTGGCTGCCGCGAGGCGGGGCGCGTGGCGCGAGCCAATCAGCGGAACGGGGCTTTGGCCGCTTCGCGCCAGTCGAGCTCGCTTCTCATTGGTCACTGTTTTTCGTTAATAACTCGTAAACGAAGCCGCGGATTGCATTTTCGCAAAGGAGAAAGTTGCTTCGAACGACCTCAGGAACCCCTCGCTTCCCTTGTACAGTACAATAATTGAATAATCTTGCACAATAATTTTAGGTCAGATTAAATCGAACAGTTCAAACATGGACGTACCGTAAGTGGTGCTCGCATTCCATCTGACGAAACTGTAGCGTCCCTGGAAAGCGAACTCGTAGAAGTACACCGGTTTCTTCGAGTTCTCCGCAACCAGTTTCGCGCCTCGGTGCATCGAGAATATAATCACGCTGTCCGCGTACAGCTGTGAATCAATCGCGATGATTATTCATTGGATGCACTGTGTATGTGCATGGAGAAAACGAGTCGGCTACCTCGGCGAGACCGTTCCTGCTCTCCGAATCGATCGGCTTCCCACGGAAGTAGAAGCTGCGTAACTGGTCGCTGATATACTTCGATCGGTTCGTTCCGCGCTCGTACATGAAACTGATCGGCGCAATGCGATCGAAGTTGTCGTTCATGTCGCCGTAGTAATTGTTTCCTGCTTTGGTCTGGTTCTCGAACGCTGAGGAACATCGGAAGTTTCGGTGAAACGTACTCGTCGGCAAAACGTGTTCGTTCAGCTTCCAAAATGCAGGAACTTTTTACGAACTGGTCCAATTGACTCGAATCTGTTTTTTAAGTGTTACAGGGACTTGTTTACGGTGCAATGACTAGCATAACTTTTTCTAAATTCTGCTATCGCATAAAATAATAACAGAAGATAAGGAATACTCGCTTTTTTAGCTAATTTATTTGAATATAACCTGGATCGAAAATTTAAATAATGCATAAATTTAAATTATATGCAAGCTGAAGATTTCATTGAAATCGGTTGACTTAAGAAAAGATTCGAGTCAATTAGACCAGTTTGAAAACAGTTATTGCGTTTTGAAAAGTGGTCGAATACTTTTTGCCAGGGATAAATATACCCCTTTATATTGTTATATAAATATAATACGTTGGAACCCCTACGTTTTTTGTACAAAGTTGTTCATGGTCTGAGCAAAATACAATGAATTCTTCCCAAATTTGGGGACAATTAAGAGAGAATTTACCGTATTTGCAGAGCCGATATCATAAAATTCAAAACGAGTTTGCATGAACTGTTCACCTGAACCGTTGATTCGCAGATTCTGTATTACATTAACCTTAGCAACGAGCTCTGTACCGTAAAAAAATGAGTTCCTATCCGCGCATATATAAATAAATTAAAAGAAACTCGTTCTCACAGACGACCACGCCGCCGAACTCGTCCTTGGTTACCCCGAATATGGTCGGGACTTGGTGGAAATGTCCTCGTCTGATTAAATTGACGGGTTGATCCGGCAAAAATCGTTCCACTCCCGGAAGGGAAGGCTCCACGACCGGGTACCATACCACTATAGGATCACCGTGCCAATCCTGAAGCAAAAATGGCACCTATATATTAGCAAGATGTCACTGTCTTGTCGCTCGTCGGTCAGAGATCGGCTCGAAAGCTTGCATCGAGTCACAATTAACTTCCATTTTCCTATCAGACATTTCTTCTGTTCCTTTTTTTCTTTCTGTATTTTATTTATTTAGTTATTTATTCTGTTTCTTTTCTTTTCATTTCGTTTACTTTGACTCTATCTACGGGGCGTCCCAAAAATATCTCGCAATCTGAAAGTGGCGAGTTCCTCAGGTCATTTGAAGCAACTTTTTCCTTTACAATAATTTTCTCGGACGCACCGTTAACGAGTTACCAACGGAAAACAGTGACCAATGAGAGGCGAGCTCGACTGGCGCGAGGCGACCGAGCCAACGAGCGGAACTGGGCTTCGTGCGCTGGTTGGCTGGGCCGCCTCGCGTCAGCCGTACTCGATTCTTATTGGTCACTGTTTTTCGTTAATAACTCGTTAACGGTGCCTCGGAGAAAATTTTGGCAAAGGAAGAAGTTGCTTCAAACGATCCGAGGAACTCGCCATTTCCGGACTGCGAGACATTTTTGGGACACCCTGTATATTCAGTGAAAGCAAAAATTCGTTTGTCTTCGTGACTCATAGTGGGTGGAGATGAATAAAAGATTCTACCTAGCTGCTTAAGAAGTTATTTATGACTCGACCTAATGCAGTAAATTCTCCCTAATTGACGCTCAGCTTGTGCACATAAATGGACAATTTGGGAAGAGGAGAACGAGTATTAGAGCCTTGCGACTTGTTTTTATAGTTGTTAACAATCGGTAACTATAGAAACAAGTCTCAAGGCTCTAATAATCGTATCTCCTCTTCCCAAATTGTCCAATCCGAGCGTCTTATCTCCGCGTCAATTAGAGAGAATTTACTGTAGAACCATTATTTAAATTCGGTCGCATCTCTGGCTTTCCTGATACGAACAAACATATCGCGGATGGAGTCCGTGAAGTGCTCGACAGGCTTGGTCCTGAGGCAGTCGATCATCGCCTGGTTGTCGCCAGTGGTACAGTTGAGAAGGGTAGCCTGTCTTTGAGCGAGCTGCTTCTGCTCGGTCGGATAGGGTTCGGTGGTCAGCAGTGATCCGCTCATCACGATGGCCCTGTGGAAGAGGTCCTTGGACATCGGGGACACCAGGTGCAGCATCACGCTGAGGCCGCCGACGCTGTAGCCGCTAATGGTCACGCAGTTAGGGTCTCCGCCGAAGGCAGCGATGTTCCTCTGGACCCATCTCAGCGCCAGCACTTGGTCCTTCAGGCCCAGGTTCCCTGGCGCAGCGGAGTCGCCGGTGCTGATGAATCCTGCGGAAGTCCAGGCGTCAGAGGACACGCCCGTGATTGATTCTAGTCTTCGAAGATCCAGTTACCTAAGGATGTCAGGCGGTAGTTCACGGTGACCAGCACGATGTCCTTGTCCATGATGTATTGGGGCCCGAAAAAGAGGCTCTGGCTGGAGAATGAGTAGAACCCTCCAGGGTGGAAGAAGACGAGGACCGGTCTGCTGACATTCTCGGTCCTCGAGGGTAGCTGAGGAGCATCGGATTAGGAACGTCTTCGAACGCGAGGATCATTATACAGTGGTACATTCCCAAGAATGTCTCGCAATCAGGCAATGAGGGGTTCCTGGGATGATTTCAAGTAACTTTTTCCTTAGCGAAAATGCAATCCGAGGCTTCGTCTACGAGATATTATCGAAAAACACTGACCAATGCGAAGCGAGCTCGGCTGGCGCGAGGCGGGAGCCAATCAGCGGAACTGGACTCCGCGCGCTCGTTGGCTCTACCGCCTCGCGCCGGCTGCATCTCGCCGCTCATTGGTCAGTGTTTTTCCTGAATAACTCGCGAACGAAGCCGCGGATTGCATTTTCGCAAAGGAGAAAGTTGCTTGTAATGACCCGAGGAATCCCTCATTTCCCGAAAGTGACACAATTTTGGGACATCCCGTACACTCGATCCCGTCTCCAGCAAGGACCATTCGTCACCTTCGTGGTGTACACGTTCAATCGGAGACAGTCCTCGGACGTCGGCTGCGATCGGCGCACGTTCGGGCAGCTGGGGCCTTCCTCGGACGCGTCGAAAACATCGTTCCAGTCGGCCGCCGGAGTGGCAACCTGCGTGACGAGAAGATTGCGCCGTTCTCACCGGTGTCTCGTAAATATCCGCGGGAAAAGGAAATGCGGGAGGAGGAAACTCCTTCGGTCCCACGGCCGAAGGTCGCGCTCTCGTAATAACTTTTAGGCGAGCGTTGTTGGCGCGATGATTGAAAACAGCGCCTCGGTATCCCGGGTACCTCGGCGGCGCAACGGCTCCCGTCGAAATAAACTTGTCGGGGAAATGAAGCGATAACTTACCTGAAAACGTCGCGGCCCCGTGGGCGGCTCGGCGTATCTCACGCCGCGGAAGGAATAAATCTTCCGGCGGAGGTTCGACTCCAGAATAGAGCCGCGGATCCTTCCGGTCGGCGCCTGCGTTTCCGGCTGCGAGGCATCGCATCCGATGCCGGCGATCCCGATCATGCAAACAGCGATCGCGAGCAGCATCGTTGCTCGTCGCTGCGCCAGCTGTGCCACCTTCATTTTTATTCCGAGTAGGAGCCTCGACCTTGCTCGTCCGCCAGCCGTTCGAAACGCACTTCAACGACACCGGCCGATTCCTGTCTAATTTATTCGGTACGTTATCGGACGAAACAGTCCTCTCCTTGTTTTGCCGAGCCTTATCGAGCCAACTACTTTTTCGTATCGCCGCGAAAACAGTCTTATCGTCCTCGAGAAAAGCGAAAACGTTGCTCGCTAATCCGGCGCTCGCCTCTGTCTGTTCTTCCTCCCGTATCTGTTCTTCCCTCGTTCGCCTAACTACGTAAACACACCACGGACATGATATATTGCACGAGGAAAACCAGGAAAAAGTTTTTTTCCGATCGGGGAATGCCAAGTTTTTCCTTGTTCTGTTTACATCGATAAAGCAGCGACAAGCTCTCGTTCGATAGCGATAACGTCAACGTTTTGCACCGTATCCGCATGAAAAGTCAGAGATCGTGGCTAAGAGCGTGTTTTTACGTGGATACTAATCGCGTTGCTGACAGCTAAAATCGGAATGCGATATGTAATCTAATTGCATAAGAGAAACAAGGATTGAGATGTAACCGCTGACTCGGCGTCGAGTTGCTCAAATTTGTCCGGTTGTCGCCGGGGCTCGTTTCGTTTCGTTAATTACGACCCTGGGCTCGTCCTAATTAACGAGATCATTCGTGGGAATTTGTCTCATTCTTCTTCCGGTTCCTCCAGCTTCTCCGGTTCTTTCTCCTTTTCTTCTTCTCTCTTCTTTTCTTCTTCTTCCTCCTTTTCCTGTCCTTTCTCCGCTTCTCGCTTCTCTCCCCTGTCTTCTCTCTTCTGCTTCCGTTTCGGCAGTTTCCCGGCTCTTTTCCTCTCCCGCTTCTGTTTCTCCGCCAGCTCGGGATCGATCTGGGGATCGTAGGTGCTCTTGTAGGCGATCGGATCGATCGGCCGTTTCTTGCGGATCTTCCTCTTTTTCTTCGTCTCGTCCGACGGACACTCGCCCATCTTGTACGGCTTCGTTTTCGGCAAAACTTTGCCGTACGGCTGTGCAATTGATACGAGTTTAGTTCTCTTGCCGGATGTTTACAGGGTGGTACAGAATAACTGGCTATTTCTTTTGGATCGTCGCGATTTTATTATTTAGATTTATTATTATTATCATTATTATTATTATAATTATTTATTATTATTATTATTATTATTTATTATTATTATTATTATTATTTATTATTATTATTATTATTTATTGTTATAGAAGATCCATAGTCTACCGATAAGAATGAATTCATTCAGACTTGCCGCCATTTTGATTACAATTTATGTTCGAACGAAGGAATCTATGCAACAATGATTTCATAAAAAACGATCTTCATAATTTCAATGATTTATAAAGATAAAAGATGTTAGACATCGATTATATCAACCATTATGGACCTTTCACCATTTTGATTATAATTTATATTCGAACGAAGGAATCTATTCAACAATGATTTCTGAAGAAACGATCTTCACAATTTCATCGATCTAATAGATAAAAATAGATAAAAGATGTTAGACTGGTGATGTCTCTCTAATTGGCGCTTAGATTGTCCATAAAAATGGACAATTTAGGGAGAGGAGAAACGATTATTCGAGCCTTGCGGTTCATTTTTATAGCCACGAATTGTCAACAACTATAAAAACGGCTCGAATAATCGTATCTTCTCTTCCGAAATTGTCCATTTTTCTGTACAATCTGAGCGTCAGTTAGGGATACATTACCGTATATCGATCATTATGGTAGATTTTGCCTTTAGTTCGGTGCTTTTTATACCATCGCACGATCGCTTCTCACATGTACCGCGAGCTAATAGATAGAAGAATAATACAAATTGTCCAGTAATTCGTGAAGTTCTAAGATCGGAGGTCGCGTTGCCGGTTACTTTGGACCACCCTGTACACGCTCCTACTATGCAAATAATTCTACAGGCATCTCGAAGATCGGTTTTCCGTAGGCGTCCTTCTCGCGAGGCGGCTTTTTCTCCACGGGATCCCTAGGACTCCTAGGTTTCGCCAGCGATTCGACCCGTTCCGAGGCCGAGGCCGATAACGCCGCTTTCTTCACGGTGTACGGATCCTTTCTGCAAGCCGTGCTTTTGTGCACGTGCGGCTCGGCCAGCTTGTCAGTGCCGGGTGGCACTGCAACAAGGTAACATTGATTATCGGTTTCGAGAATGCACCGTCATAAATATATACGAACGCGTGTAAACGGTTACATAGAATTGTGTAACGAGCGCAATCCATTTAACCAACGGTCGTCGAAGGCCGGCCGATTCTTCGTAAATTGGTCAGATAACGTTATCTCTGGTTCACACCTTTCCCCGTCAGCGTCGTTTTCTTGACAGCGAACGCGTCGTCGTCGCAAGGATACGGCGCGTACCTCCACGCGTGTTTCTCCAGCTTCCTCTTCTTGGCTCTCTTCTTTTTCTCTTTCTTCTCATCCTCGTCTTCGGCGTCGCCTTCGCCCTGTTCCGTCGTCTCCGCGTGCTTTCTTTTCGTACCTCGTTTCCTCTGCTGCTCGGCCAAAGCCTCCTTACCCCTCTCCTCTCCTTCCTCGACGATCTGCTTCTTCATCTCCCTGGCTTTCGGGTCCTTTCTGTGCCTGATCAACGTGTACTTCGGCAGAGCCAGGTACATCGTCCACGGTGTGATCTGCGAAGGCAAGAGATTGCGGTCAGAACGACACCTTGAGAGGTCGCGGCGCACCGCAGGCCAGCGAAATGTAATCCGATGGCCAGACCGCAGAATTCTGTGCGGAATAAAAACTGTCGAAGTTCATTTCCAAGAAATATAAGGCGGATAAACAAAATCTTTCCTCTTTCAGTAATCGCAATACGTTGGAAATAATGTAACAATATCTTTAGATTCTGAACGCATCGCAGTCCACCGATGACCAGACTGCAGATCTTCGTGCAAAATAAAGATAATTGACAAAGTTAATTGCAAGAAATATGAGTCGTATAAAGAGAAGTCTTTCCTCTGTCAATAATTGCAGTACGTTGGAAATAATGCAACAATATCCTTAAATTCTCGTAACGTATTCCTAGTTTTCTATTTGACCCACTCATTTTTGTCATAAACGCATCGAATCCGCGGTCCATCGATGACCAGACTGCGAATCTTCGTGCGAAATAAAAATTAACAAAGTTAATTGCGAGAAATATAAGTCGGACAAAGAGAAGTCTTTCCTCTGTCAATAATTGCAGTACGTTGGAAATAATGCAACAATATCCTTAAATTCTCGTAACGTATTCCTAGTTTTCTATTTGACCCACTCATTTTTGTCATAAACGCATCGAATCCGCGGTCCATCGATGACCAGACTGCGAATCTTCGTGCGAAATAAAAATTGACAAAGTTAATTGCGAGAAATATAAGTCGTATAAAGAAAAGTCTTTCCTCTGTCAATAATTGTAATACGTTGATAATAATGCAACAATATTCTCAGATTCTCGTAACGTATTCCAATTTTTCTATTTGACCCACTCATTTTTGTCATAAACGCATCAAATCCGCAGTTCATCGATGACCAGGCCGCGGATCTTTATGCGGAATAAACATTTGCATGAAACAGTAATTAAATGAAAATAAACTGTTCCTTCGCCGAGCAATTTAGATAAGATGAAAACAGTGTAACAACGTTATCAGATTCCTCTTAATGTCATCACGGTTTTGCATCGCAGCTGCTCATTGTTGCCATAAATGCTGATCACAGATCAGAGATCCTACATACATAGATGCGTCGTCGGATGACTCACGGCGTGGTATCGTGCGAGACCGTGAGACGGTCGTTTTTTAGCACGGTTTCCTGCTAAATACGCGTGAGTAATACTTCTAAATCACCTTCGTCGTGCATACGAATGAATGCCTTCCGAGATAATTGAATTCACTGTGCCATTTCCACCGGAGGTTACCGTTTTCGAACCAGAATCCTCCGAGGATTAATCCGGATTAAAAAGGATTAATCGCCGTTTAAAGCAGCGGTGGCCAAAGCGTCGATCACTATTCCTAGCCTGTTTTTTTTTTTTTTTTTTTTGTTTAACGTGGGGGAAATCTGCTGGTCAGACACCCCCGTCCCGCCCGAGGGGCGGGGCGGGGGTAGTGCGGGTTTTGACCCGCTAAAACCCTCACGGCGGCCTAGGGCGCTGGCGAGTAGCGGGGGAGCCACGGGAACTCTTAAAGAACACAACCGCGGCTTTCCTAGCCTGTCCGATATTATCTATGTCTATTTTAAATTTAAACTTATTTCTGGCTTTAAATTGCTACTTTTCTAATAATCCGCTTATTATTTAATTTTATTATATTATTTAATTTTTCTAATCGCCGCTTATTATTTAAAAAAACAGGTCACCCGTAGTGATAAAAATTTTGTCCGAATAACCTTGTAGACCAGGGCCCTCCTGTTGACGCCGAAGGGCGTGAAAATCATCGCCCATTCCTCCGGAGTCAGCACGCCAGGATTTTTCAGAAGCTTCTTGCACTCGGAGAGCTCGTTCAGCCTGTCCTGATCGAGGGACCCCGCTAGGCAATTGGAGGTCCTCTCTTTGGGTTTCCGTTTCTCTTTGATGCAGTGAGGCTTGCTCAGCTCGAGCAGCCTTTCCGACGGCTCGTACTTCAACGCCGCAGGAGAGACCTTGTAATAAACGCGACCATAATCGCAGAGCTTCACTTGTGGCAGAGCCAGAAGCAGCAGACGTCTCGAGGCAACGACCGTCAACGCGGTCCTCGGAATACTCCAGTCCAATCGGCACAGGACACTCGGATCTGGCACTGTTCTTGGTGTTGATAGCAACTTCATCCGCTTCCTCAGCTTGGACAAGGGCTTCGATGGCCGTACCTGAAGAGCATTAAACCGTTTGAGACCGCTATTTTTGTTCGAGACGCTTGGAGACTAGAAATTGACATTATTCGGATATGTTTGTCTAAGATAATTCTCTCATTTTATTCGTCATAAATTATTCTATTTATTCGAATGATTCATTTTATTCGACGTGAATTATTCTATTTTTTTATTCGAATGATTCGTTATTCGAATTATTCTTTATTCGAATGAATTCTTATTCGAATGAATTCTTATTCGAATGAATTCTTATTCAAATGAATTCTTATTCGAATGAATTCTTATTCGAATAATTCTCTATTCGAATGAATTCTTATTCGAATAATTCTCTATTCGAATGAATTCTTATTCGAATGAATTCTTTATTCGAATGAATTCTTATTCAAATGAATTCTTATTCAAATGAATTCTTATTCGAATAATTCTCTATTCGAATGAATTCTTATTCGAATAATTCTCTATTCGAATGAATTCTTATTCGAATAATTCTCTATTCGAATGAATTCTTATTCGAATAATTCTCTATTCGAATGAATTCTTATTCGAATAATTCTCTATTCGAATGAATTCTTATTCGAATAATTCTCTATTCGAATGAATTCTTATTCGAATAATTCTCTATTCGAATGAATTCTTATTCGAATAATTCTCTATTCGAATGAATTCTTATTCGAATAATTCTCTATTCGAATGAATTCTTATTCGAATAATTCTCTATTCGAATGAATTCTTATTCGAATAATTCTCTATTCGAATGAATTCTTATTCGAATAAATTCTTATTCGAATAAAATTGTACACGGATTAATTCGACAGCGTCGAATAAAATTACATTCGAATAGATTGTTATCCAGATGAATTTTTCTTATCCTTTTTATCTTTATCTTTCAACCGAATAAAATTTTGCCCAACTCTGTTGGAAATTTAGTCAGCGAACGGTCAAAGACTGATATCATAATTATTCATAGAGACAAGAATGCTGACTATGGGCTCCGGTTCCGGGTACTTCCTCGGTAAAGCGTTGACCTTCGCCCAAGCGTTGAAACGTGCCCAATCGGCTGGCGTCTGCAGCCATCCCTTCAACTTCAATGTGTACTTGCCGGTTCTGTCGATGATCGAAGAAACAATCAGAGAGTCTGCTTCTCCGAGAGAAGATGATTTTTTGTTCTCCACTTACCTTGTCTTGGTTTTCGCCTTCTGCCCTCGTCCTCGCTTGATCGACGGTTTCTTTCGTTTAGCAGCTGCTTCCTTCGCCGGAGCAGCCTTGGCACCACCTCTTGCAGAACTCGCGTCCTTCGCCGAGGATTTCTTCGCTTTCGCGGGCATGTTCGAAAATGTCGCGGACCAGTTTGCAATTTAAAGCGAACAGTATCGTGCGTCAATGATGACTTCGGCTCGTTTCACAGACGTCTAGGTTGGGATCAGCGATGATTTCACAGACGCCAATCGACGATGCCATTTCGCAGGCTGATTCAATCAAAACGATAACGCTCCATTTTTCTCGTGTGTTTCGCAACTTCCCTAATTTTAGGGGTTGCTTTCCAGCGAGACCTGCTCGATGGACGGCGAGCTTCATTTATTTCTTCCCGTTCGTCTATTTTCAATAAAAATACTCGATCCAATACGAAATCGTTCGACGTGAATAATAAAACTATGCAAATAAAGAATGAAACCATAAGAAGAGACTGAAAACTTTAAATATGCTTTTGTATTGTCATCGTTTCGTATCGGTTACATTATAATCGTATTTATCTCGACGGTCGCGGAGCGGCAGCTTTCATGTTACTCTTGTTCATGTTCTGCAAGTAATCGTCGAACTCGTCGCAGGGCGCGAACCGAGGAGAATAATTCTTCGGCTTGGCAAGTTCCTGCAAGCGTTTCGAGGTCCGTTTGTTCCTCGCTGCGACGATCCTGGCGTAGGTGTCTATCAGAAATTTCTTCTTCTTGGTTTCCTGCGCATCCTTCGACTGCTCGTCGCTGTTTATCAGCCTGTGCGTCCCATATTTCACTGGAAAATCAAGAGAATCGGTCACGCAGCGGTTGCGCGAACAGCGTTGTTCGTCTAAAACGAATACGGTAATGTCTCCCTTACTGACGCTCAGATTGTCCTCGGATCGTTGACGCTCAGGAGATACGATTATTGCGAGCCTTGCCGTTTATTTTTATGGTTATAAATTATTCACAATTATGAAAGCGAGCCGCAAGGCTCGAATAATCGTATCTTCTGAGCGTCAACAATCCGAGGACAATCTGAGCGTCAGTAAGGGAGACATTACTGTACCTGTGGCTGCGGGAGCAGTTTTGTTCGACGTATCCGGCGCGACAGACTCGTTCGGCTCTTGCCTCTTCTTCGGATGAGCCAGTTTGTTCAAACTGTCGGTGATCTGATAGGACAGGGCGCCGGGTTTCACCTGAAACACGGGATATAACTCGCTGCGAACTCGACTCGGTTGGTGCTTTCGGTGGCTGGCACTTACGTTGAAGGCATTGTGGTTCACGTTTCTGTCGATCCTCTTCTTCGGTTTCGCTAGTTTCTCGTACTTGGACGTTTTGTCGTGGAGAACATCCGTGTTCATATCGTTAACGGTGCGAAGCTGGACAGCTGAGAGAAGAGTCGTCGGACGAACGGTATTAAACGATCGGCCAACGAACGAGTCGACGAGAGTTTCTACGATATTGCGAGAGCTTGCGGATCGGTGAAGAGAATTTTGAGGATGTTGGCGGATGGGAGATGTTGTGTTGTGCAACGAGAGAACGATGGTGGATCACCATGAAGCGAGACGCTTTGCTCGCTTCAGTTATTTTTCGAGAGTCGCTCGTCCGCGATCAGAGACGACGATCCGGCCGAAGGAACGACGCGGAGAAATTCCAAGTATTTTTCTTTTTTCTCTTAAAGAACAGATCGAAACACTCGATCGAAGGGGAATGTGAGTAACACCGTCGTTGAGCATGCACGAATCCGCAGAGAATTCGACGAATCCTAGAAACGATCTCAAAGATTTCAGCGCTGCGAGACATTATTGGTGTGCTCCTAGGAAAGCGAGCGACACGAATCCCGTGAAAATAATGAACGGTCCGACGGTTGAGAGAACAGTGCGCGAAAAGCCGCGAAAGGTAATTCGTCGTTGCTTCTCGACGGGAAGCTTCGTGATAACGTAACGTGCTTTAGGAACGTCGCAAGAAGCCGCGACGAGCGTCGAAGAAGCTGAGACGCATCGACGTTTTGGCGCAGCCGAAGTCGCAGAGCCAACGAAAGCGTTCTCCAAGTGTACGTAGTTCATCTTCCGACGCCTCTTGAAAATCGGTATGCTCAATTAAATCGATCGTTTTCAAGGCACCTCGTGCCGCGCAAAATGTACGGAAGCCACGGTTGTCCACGACGAAGGGTGGAAAATCGGTTAAAACGTTAAAAACCGGCGAGAAGACGAAGAAGCCTGCGACGATCACGCTGTCGAAGAAGTTGCAACGCAGATTATTTTCCTTGGGTTCGTGTGCATGTTCTTCTTGTCGATACCGATAACTTCCGTCGATTAAATCACCTGCTCTCTATTTTTCGACGACAGTATACAAAAGGATCAAGGAGCTCGCGAAGTCTGGGAAAATCTAATTCTGTGCGCGTCGTCCGATGAAGCTACACCTGTAGTCCCGTAAAACTGCATATTAAAAAAAAAAAAGAAATAGTGAAACGTACGAATAATATATAAATTTATTTAAATCGAAATATATACAAAAATGTCGGTGGACGGCATAAGATACACGTAAACCTATAATTACATACGTTAAAATCTTACGGTAACGTTAAGATCGCGAAATATGGACGGATCGGTTTCGATTCTGGAATTCTTAGATCGACAACAAGAAAGAGATATCTCTTCGTGGTATAAAACGATATTGAACGCGTTCAGTCTTCTAATAAGGCGTTCGTGTATAAAATAGAGAGACTACGATCGACTCGTGAACGCGTACCACGAGAAGATTGTTATTGCTCGTTGGTGCTCCTTGTGAATTTTGCACGTGGTGTGCCGTCCGATTATTAAGTCTCTTATGTATCTCGTGAGTCCCTTATGGTCTCACGTATCTCTCACGATGTCTCTAGAGTCCCTTGTGGTCTCTCCTGACTCTCGTGTATCTCCTGAGTCCCTTGTGGTCTCTCCTGACTCTCGTGTATCTCCTGAGTCCCTTGTGGTCTCTCCTGACTCTCGTGTATCTCCTGAGTCCCTTGTGGTCTCTCCTGACTCTCGTGTATCTCCTGAGTCCCTTGTGGTCTCTCCTGACTCTCGTGTCTCTCCTGACTCTCGTGTATCTCCTGAGTCTCTTGTGGTCTCACGAATGTCTCTTGTATTTCGAACCGTGTCTCTGACGATGCTCTTCTCTCCTGACTAGAGGACCGGGGTCATCCCTAATATTGCCTCGGTCCTCCCTACTCTTCTTGACCTACGGTGGGCGGCAAGGAATTATGGTCCAATCACTGCAGTCCCAAAACAGTGAGACTGCTCCAAAACGGTGGGCCGGGAGTTAGCAGGGAGAATGGCAAACTAACACCTGCTAAACATCCCGCGCTGATGGGCCTACGTGCCCAAACAGTGCCAGACCCAACCGTAATTGACTGGACCGTAATCAAGGACCAGGAGACGTTATGACGGGGCCGCACGTGCCCGGGAACGGCCAAAGACAGACCCATACCGTCGGGGTACCCAAACACATGGCCCCTGCCATAAATCCTGGCCACTTGACCGCAACAAAGATTATAAAACTATGACTTAGATAACGTAGTGGCATACTAATGTGTCTTTTTCTGTAACATACCACGAAGAACGGAAACACGTTCTAATAAGAGAGGCTGATGAAATTTGATCTATCGAACACACAAGTCAGCAGAATCATAGCCATCGTGGCTAATATCGACTGCTCTATGCAGCGGCGTTGCAATCGACGATTCTTCGAGCTCGCATGAAGTCGCTGCCCAGATAGGCGCTGAACTTTCTTTTCTCGGGTGGGACGACCACCAACTGTTGCGTGGCGTCTTGGAAGATCAGGTCGCTGTAAGGAGGCTCGCTGAAGAACATGCTGAAGCTGAACTCGTCCTGCTCTTTCCTGCCATAGAACTGCTGAGCGTAAATGAACAAATTGATGTAGGCGTTTATCTGTGTCTCGTTGTATCCGTAATATCCTCCGCGGGTGACTATCGCGTTCGACGAGACTTTCCCGAGGTTGCAGTGTATGTAATCGGTGGTGGGCCGTCGAGTACCGTCGGGACAAAGCAGCTCGAAGTCCTTGCGGAAGGTGTTGCGCGCCCATGTCTCCCTCCGCTTCCCGTCGGTGTTCTCGGCGACCGTCGTGTGTTTCACGAAGGCCACGTCTCCGCCACCTTCCACCAGACACCTGAAGGCACCGGTGTAGCCGAAGTAGTCCTCGGAAGCGTCCCTGCGGCAGTAGCGGAAGCTCGCTCCGTGACACAGATCGCACATATTGTCGTAAGGCACGCCTGCAACATTGACACAGCGAGATCAGGGACCCAATTCTTTAAACGGAACGCGGCATTAGAAGACATTAGATAGATAGATACGTTACCTGTATTGTATTCGGTACTGAGGGCACCTGGCACGCAAGATTTGCTGAAATATTCGGCGGCAGCTTGCACGGAGTCGCAACCGTAGCCCCTGATCAAGGTATTGGAGATAAGATACGCGAGAGGATAAACCCAGCCCGCGGCCGTGTTTATCCCGGTGTGACAAGTGTATTTGTTCTTCAAGTAGGTCAAATCCGTGTTGTCGTCCTCTTCCTTCGCCACCGCAACTATATAGTACTCCGGCGTGGGCAGGTTGTAGACCTCGGAGATGAACGGGATTAAATTAAAACGTTGTCCAGCGGTGTACACGTCGCCGGTGTCCAACACGGATACATCCGCGTTCCTAAACAGGAACACGTTAAATGAAACGGTGAGTAGGAGAAAGGGATCTTTGCATGTGGAGTACGCACCCGCTTTGTATTGCCTGCATGCATTGAATTTGACTGTGGCCCTTGTAACAGTTTAATTCAGGCTTCAGTAGTTGCGCCTTTAACGCTATCTATAACAATGTAAATTGGTGTTGACGACAGAAGTAGGTTTCTTTTTCTAAAATCGTAGTTACCTTCATTTTCACACACTTCTCCATTTCCGGGTCGGACGTAACGCACAGGGTCATTTTATTGACGGGACAGCGACGAACTTCTAGTATGGGGTCCAGCGATCTACCCAAATATCCGCTGTAAGTTTGATCCTTCTCCGGTAATTGAACGAAGTCTCGAGCAGAGTCCTAAAATTGCGAGATTTTATTGGAGATTAACGCGACGTTTTCTTCGAATTGTGAGTACGATAATTACCGAAAACATTAAGTTGTGACGCAGTCCGTATTTCGGTGCCGATTCGAACAGGTTGAACGTCTCTATCGGTTGTATATTCGTTGATTCCGTTTTGTCCCATTCATTACCGTTGTAACCTCTGTTGTAGCCGTTGCTATTGTTAGTATTGTAGCCCGGTCTGTTCTCGAAACGATTGTCGTAAAAATCGGTCGAGTTCTGGACGACGTCTTTGTTCAATATCCGAACTGCTCTTTCCAAAAATCGCTGATACAGTCGGCGTGTCTCGATTTTCGTGGCGGATGATATAACTATAGCGCGCGACGGTACCGTTCCCCAGTTACAATTCTTGAATTCGTCGATGCTCTTCCGACTGCCGTCCGTACAAAGCAACTCGAACTGATGCTTCGTCACATTGACTGCAAAACGAGAGTTAGAGATGATTATTTTACACTTTCGTGACGATTGAATCACAGAGTGGAGAACGTACGGAAGTCGAAAGACGTTGATATCATTTCATCCACAGTCGAATTCACTAAGAACGCAATCTCTCCTGTTTCTACCAAGCATCTAAATGCTCCCTCATATCCTGCATAAGGATCTGCGCTTGTACATCTCTCTCCAGGTATCTTGCCAATGCACAGCTTGCACAATTGATCAGAATTATCGCCTGGAATTTTGGGCAATACTTATATAAATTGCTTTTGACGTTCAATAAGGTATGCATGAACTTACCCAATGGATTATATTTATCTATTAATGAGTTAACTGCACAACTGGGGCCAAAATATGTAATAGCAGATTTTACGTGATTATTGCAATCAATAATTTCCAGTCCACCTTGTTTCATAAGCTAATGAATAAAAATGATAGATAATCATTGTTATAAGTATTATTACTGGAAAAATATAACTGATACAGAGTAAATAGATCATATTTACAACATGAATGGGAATAACCCAACCAGCCAGCATCCCAAGGCCAGCAAAGCAGGCTTTTTTGCCTCTCAAGTCGTGTAAATTCTTTACATCCTGTAAAGATCCTTTCTTAATTACTGCAACTGCATACTGATAGTTCAATCCACTCTCGTATATCTCCTGCATAATTGGTATTAAACTGTGATATCGTCCTGCTATAAAAATCTCTCCAGGATCCAAAGTAGTTATCTGAGCTTTCTCATGGTCTAGCATAGCCACGCATTCCTCTTTGCTCGATGCTTGTTTACATTGCAATGATATGTAGTCCCGCTCAAAGAATGCTATCTCACGGTCGATGGCTCTTGAAAATGCATTGCATTTGTCTTGTTCAGCTGCCGATACTGTACACCATGTAACAGTGTTATTCAGATTCTGACCTGTGAATAAATGTTATAAACAAAATATAACAGAGTATCGTTGGTAAACTATTAAACTAAAGCAGAACATTATATTGCTTACCGTGAACGTGCAGCCAAAATAAACTAAAGACTATCAAAAGTCTTCGATCATCAAATGTGGACAACATTTTTAACACTTTATTAATGAGAGACAACACCCAAGCAATGATGTGTCACCTCGGACGTATTATAGAAATAGACCAAACTATTCGTCGAATTACCAACAATCTAGTTTGGTGGCTAACAGTTTCAGCGTTTTGCCGCTGCACCAAAATGACGCTGCATGGACATCGAACGAGGCTTCAGGTTTTTCTCCATAAGTGGCGCTACAGTCGTCCACACCGGTCGAAAACAAGAACGTCTGTAGACGCTAAGGGTGGCAGTGAGATTCGCCGTAAGGGATGACTAATCGACAAATTAATGTACAGATGTTTAACATATTATAGGCAATTATTATCCCATAGGGTGTATTTAGGTATTCTTACAACGAGTATCTAGTCTTGTATTTTGCTATTTCATGGCGGCAGCAGAAGTATGTTTTAAGGGTTGTTTACGTATGTGCACGTGCAGACGTGCGAGAGCAAAAGGATGTCGCAAAATAATGACGCCGGTTCTTTTATAAGCATCCCTGGATTTTGTTCCGATTGCGGGTCGGTTTTACCTTTGTTACAGGAGCGAGGAAACGTAATTTGTTACGCTTGTAAACGTGAATGGGGCCCTGAAGGTACGTACTTCCAAATGTGCAACATGGTAATAAACATGATTTTAATTTAATCGAAATACTTTTCGGTGTCATTAAGCTTTCGGAGACATGGCTATGTCGTACACCATCCATTTCAATGATAAGAACGTCTACACATCTGAAAAGCAGAAAGGTGACAAGGAGAAGGATGCGGAAGGTCCTGTTGTCGAAAGAAGATGTCCACAGTGTCAGAATGACAAGATGTCGTATGCCACTCTACAGTTGAGGTCTGCGGATGAAGGGCAAACTGTTTTCTATACATGCACTAAGTGCAAGTACGTGTCTTTTTTTCTTTTTTTAATAATTCCATAGAATATATACAATATATATGTATATATATTGTATATAAAGGTATTTAGAAACAGAGGGTATTCACAAACATTTAATACTTTGTTTCTTTTTCTTGCAGATACAAAGAGACAGAGAACTCATAACACATACATTGTGCATTCTTGTTGGCAAAGTTATAAAAGTTGTTGAACAGCTGTTGAAACATGAACACGCCGAGTGAACGAAATAAACATGAACACTCTGTGTTATCAATTATATCTTCAACCTAATTACGCGTAGTTTCGATACCTTTACTTATGTGTTTTCTCTTAGCTGTGTATACTCGATTAAATATTTTGTACAATACGTCGGAATGAAAGTTAACAATTAGTTCGAGAAGAATTTCTTTTGTTTTCCTTGATCCTTTCTTGAAACCATTACAGTGGTCCTTCCGTTATAAAATCATTTTGTATTTAAAGACTGTTAGTACATCGCTTATGCTACAAATACACTTAATCGTTAGTATTGGTAGCATTATTATTCGTTATTCCTTTAATAAGAATGCAAAGAGAAATAGTTATATAGTGGAATTTTTAACAACCAGCTCAGCAACTTATATATATATACAGGGAGGAAGTTTCAAAACTGTGACAATTAGAGGAGGTTCTTCGCCGTAATACTAATTAAAATTAACACGAAAAACGTTTATTTTGTTACGTAAATAACGTTTTGTTGCGATCCCATTCGATCGTACAAATTCTCGTCGTATAATTACACGGACAACGTAACGTAATTACTGCGACGCGAGAAATAATGCGGTAAATATCACAAAAAATAACTGCAATAACAAAAGCTCCGCTAATAGTAATTGTCAACCATCACCCGTTACTTAGAAACGAAATAAAAGCGAATATATTATCAACGATATTATCGGAGACGCGTCTCCGGCCACTTTTCTTGCAGGATATTTTTATTATAAACATTTCACGGAGTTACTCTCAACCATTTTTTCACTCGAAAATCACACATGCCTCGCATAATCGAAAAATAACGATCAAAATCCAAGAGGAACATGTTTTGTCTTTTTTTTTTTTATATTATTACAGTAAAAGAGCGATCATATATCTTTCTTTGTTCTCGGTGTCGTTGAGGTCTTTCTGGGAATCCCCCAACTCGTTCGCCTAGGGGAATTTTTTGTTTTAGTAATATTCCGTCTACGTTTATTCTTTATTTGTAAAGACTCGTGTTACGGTCAGGTCCGTTAGGCCTTCGATAGACGAACCAACGAACTGGTCTCGTTGAAAAATATTCTAAAAAAATTCTACCGACCAGCTCATTGTTCTTCAACAGGGTGGTAGGCTACTGCCGGCTCAAACAATAAAGGGGGGTGGGGTGGGGGGCAGATTTCATGAACGCTTTCTTAGGTGATCTATGAACATTTTTAAGTACACGTATTCCATTTCGATAATTGCATTTAAGACATTTATCAACAGATCCGGTTAAATCGTTTTCTAATAAATATTTCCATAAGCCATAGTAATAACTTTACAATGTTCTCAGAAAATAACGTTATTCTAGCCCTGATTATTCTCGTTACCATTCTCTCTCTCTCTTTCTCTCTCTCTCTCTCTCGTTATGTTATTAAAAAATTTTCCTCTTCAACACGATGCAGACTCGCGCTTCGTTCGGCGCAGAAAATCGCACGGCCGTTCGCGGCCACCCTGATCACGTCCGATCTCTTTAATTGTACCATCGGCTTACCTCCCTGTTTGGCAACTGTGTAACGCCACCGGCAAAAAAGCTGTTCGATCGAGCGTCAGCCGATTTAAAATTCTACTCATAAATGCGTAAACTTCTGTAAGTCGAACTCCGTTCGCATACATCGAAGACACGTTTCTGCTCGTGAAACGCACACGTTTGACACTGGTTCGAGGAAGCCCGTTTTCATTTATTTAATAACAAAAGAAAAACCGATAAATTCGGATTTCTCCGTAATAACGTAATTCGCCCGCGATTCGATTCTCCCGCCTTCCGCGAATTTTCGTACGCGTCGAAAAATGAATCTTTTTTCCAGACAGTCGACTCATCGATATACGCTCTCGAGTAATTATTCTGTTGTAACAATTGCATCGACCAACCGAACAGCTTCTTCCCTGGGCTGGTATCGATAAGTTTGAACGGTTTGTCGAGAGGTGCAGCCGCCTGGTGGTTACCCGAACGGGGAAGCCCGGTTAGGCGACCGCGAACCGCCGGACGATCGCGATTCAAATCGCAGCGCGTCACACGGAACAATTATATCCTCGCTCGAAAACGGGGGCTTTCAAATTTGATAACAGTGTCTATAATCTATTCTGTCAATAAAAAAAGA